TACTACCCCAGCAGGAAAAGACAAAAGGCCTCAGAAGGGAGGGACCTGCTCTGTGGGGTGTCGTCTCGTTTGGGCGCTGCTTTCACACAGGAGGCCACGGTGAACACCGGTGTCCTGGTATGGGCTGCCTGTGCCGGAAGCCCTGTCTGGCACCCTTCCCCAGGAGGGTCTTGGCCAGCAGCACTAAGTGGGGTCACAGCGGGGCCCACACTCACTGCAGGGGTCACCCCCCAGGTTCTCAGCATGGGTCCAGGTCCCTCTGGGGTCCTCAAGCAATGGTGGGAGTCAACTCTGCCAGCAGTAGGGGGCAGCTCAGGCAGTGGAGAGGGGCAGGCAGCTGGGGTCCAGGCTGCAGAAGCGGGGGCGTCCAGGCTCCCCGGGGAGGGGGCTGGCCGGAGCTCAGGGACGAGGGGCAGAGAGGGGGCATGGCGGCCCCATAGACCACTGCTCACCTTGCAGAGCAGTGGCAAAGCCCGTCTCTGTCGTGGGCAGGCCAGGAGCGCCTCGCAGCCGTGCAGGACAGTGGACAGTGGCTGGAGAGCTCGCTGAGCCCAGACAGGCAAAGTGCAGTGAAGCCGCACTGGCCCGGGGACAGCCCAGTGACCAGCTCGGGCCGCCGGGAGGAGCCCGCCGCCTCTCTGGGGCCCCCGCAAATAAGCTGACTGACAAGTGAGAGCAGAGGTGGACAGGCCTGAGCTCCCGCCGACCACGCGGGGAGGGTGCCCAGGAGGAGCAGGACAGGGGGGACCACGCTGGCCACAGGGCGTGATCCAAGGCCACACTCCCGTTCCCGCCAGCTCGCCCTCTGTGAAGTGAAGGTGAGGGTCGACCCCACCGGCTTGCCACACTGACCCAGTGGTTCTGCCCTTGGCACAAGGCGTGAGCGGGCGTGCGCTCCCCCGGCCCCGGCCCCGCCTGTCCCCGTGAAGTGCCTGGGATGTGCGGAAACCGCGCGGCCGGCTCTCGGTTCGGCGGGCACCCGCTCCTCCCTCCCGCGTCGTCATGGCGTGGGGCAGCCCGCGAGAGTCCGGCAGTGCCGCAGCCTCCTGTGCTCCCTCCTGGGAGTGACTGGAGCACGCCGCGAGGACCGTGACCGCGCGGTGCCCGAGAAGCACCGACAGATCCACCGGCCACAAGGGGGTTCCCGCTCCACCCACATGTCCATCGGGAGAGAAAGCGCTCCAGGTCCCCACGCTGGAGACCGGCCGCTTCTTGTCCGACGCCGCTCAGGTCCCCTCGGAGGCCCACGGGTTTCTCCTGAGCCTGCGGGTGCGACGCTGCCCGTTGACGCGAGCCGCCAGCTCCCCCTGCCGCTCCCCCACGGCACTGCGCCTCCCGGCTGGCACACGCGGCCAGGAGTGTCCTTGGATCCTGAGAAAACCCCACTTGCTCGGGATCGTTGGGACATACGGTGCGGGGGGAGCTCGGTACACAGCAAACCCTCCCCAGCCTGAGTGCTTGAACCGTCAGAAGGTAGCGAACAGCCTTGGCCGATTTGGGCAACGGTCAGACTCCTCTGGTCTGGAAGTAGGATTCACCGGCCATAAGCCACCTCGGTGACAGCTGTCTGGTAAATGTCAGCCGTGCCGTCCCGTGCCCACCACGGAGCGTGTCCACGCCACCCCGCGGCCGGTCCCTGCCCCAGGCCCCCATCCCAGGAAACCATGGCTCCGCCCTCTGCCTCTGTGCTGTGTCTACTCCGGACCCCTCAGCAGGACCCGCCCGGTCGTGGGTCGCCCGGCGCCGGCACAAGCCCGTGTTCACCACTCCGACAGCCAACCGGCTCTGACTCCAGACGGACGCTCCCCCTGGAGAGGGACGTGGGGCGGCAGCTGGGAGGGGCAGCGCCTCCGTCCCCCGCCCTGCCTCCTGCTCAAGGAAGCGCTGCTCAAGGTAGGTTCTTTCCACGGAGGCCCCATGACTGAGGGCGGGACGGTGGGACCCCGGGGTCCCCTCACCCGTGGTGCCTGGCAGAGCCCAGGAGGAGCACCAGCGTCTGGCTGGACATCGAGTCCCAACAGGGTGGCCCCAGAGCCCCTTTGCGCTCTGGGGCCGGGCAGGGGCCACCTCCCTCTGTGGTGAAGAATGAGCCCCCGGGAGGCCTGGTGGGCAGCAGGCTGGCCACTGTCCATTTGTGGTCATGGTCACGATCCCACTGGGAGGGGAGGGCCTGGGAGGGCGTCCCAGGCCCTCAGCAGACCAAGGCTGGGGCGTAGCTGGAGTCTGAGCGGCACAGACCTCTGGAGGCCGCACCAGGCCCGTGAGGCCCGCCTGCTGAGAGCGTGATTGCTCCTGCCCCTCGGGACGCGGTAGCCTCCCCCAGAACCGGGCGCAGCAGCACAGTGAGGCACGCATCTAATCTAGGGGATGCGTGTGGACAGAAACGTAGGCCAGTGTGTCCAAGACAGCCCCTATCCTCTGGATACCACGTCAAGCCCTGGGTGGCCTGGCCCCTGTCCCCAGAGCACCTCAGGCGGCAGCAGCGACCGCGTGGCCCAGCGTCTGAGCTTACAGCAGGAGCAGCTGCCACCTGGCCCTTGATCCAGGTCCTGCATCCCCACCAGGACACCGCAGCTCAGGGACATGGGCCGGATGAGGAAGAGAGAAGAGCCGGACAGGACCGGAGCCCCTCCCTCACTGCCTCTCACCCCCCCTTCCCCTGCACCCACCCTCCTCCTCTGAAGAGGACGCTCCAGCACCTGCCCATCTGGTTCTGGGCAGAGGACCCCAAAAAGAGCGTCCTGGCTGGGCCGGCAGGGCGAGGGTCTGGGAGACCTGGGGCCCCTGCTCTGCTGAGCCCTCACTGAGAAGCCCCAGCTTGACAGAAGGGCACCAGGCTGGATCCCCCACACACGAGATCGAGCACATCTGAGGCCGGGCCCCTGTGGTCTGCTGCACCCAAAGGCTGCGAGAGGCAGGGCACAGAGCCGCATCTCCAGTGGTACCCAGGCTGTCAGGGCACAGGAGGAGGGCCCACGGCGGGGTGAGGGTGGCCTCCACACTGGGGTCTCCACACGGACCCCTCCCTGGCTGGAAACCAGGCCTGGAGCAGTGCAGGGCCCCCACAGAGCAGGCTCGGAGACCCTCTGCCGGAGAGCCGAGGCCGGGAAGCAGCAGAGAGAGGGCTGGGCGGGCATGGCCAAGGCGCTTGCCCCTGGGCAGAGGGCATCCCCAGCAGGGCCCTCACAGACACAGAGGGAGCGGAAGGGGCATCGGCATCCTGTAAGACGCGAAGAGCTCCCCCAACCCACGGGCTCGGGCAGGGCCAGACTGCCGCGCAGGGCACACAGCGTCCACGCGTCCCTCCGGGGAGTGCCTACCCGGCTGCCCCTTGCCCACCACTGGTCGCCCAGAGCCCCCGCCTCACAGCTGGAGAGCCAGGAGGTGGATGAGGATGCTGGCCCGAGGCTGACCATCCTCCCAACCGGAGGCAGGCCAAGAGCCCCACCCCGTTCTTGTCCTGTAGGTGGTCCGGCTGGAGGGGCTCAGCCAGGCAGGGCAGAAGTGACCCACCGCCAGGACAGGCCAGGAGCCCGGCTCCGCGTCCACGGAACACACCACACTCCGGGAGCTGCGGGAGCTCAAGGCCCTGGAGGCCCCGGGGCTGGGGGCGGGGACCTTGGAACAGGTGCAGGCCGCAGGGGAGACACAATGACCGACGACCACTTTACAGAAAGGCTGGTTCTGACGCTCCCAGAGCCCCCATGCGGCCATGCAGCAGAGCCTGGGAGCCCCCACCCCGTGCCCTTAGCAAACCTGCTCCAGGAGGTCACTTGGCGGCTGCAGGCCAGTCCAGGCCACCAACCCCCTGGAAAGTCCACAAGTCTTGGCCAGGGACAATGCAGGCTCCTGCCATCACCAGAGGGAGCTGTGCCAGGGCTTCTGGGTCCCACCCCCAGGCCAGGAGGGCCTTGGGCTGTCCCCCGGGTCCCAGGGGGCTCCGGTCTCCCCAGTGCAAGCCCTCACTGGCCCCCAGCATCGCAGAGCCCACCGTGGGCACCAGCCTCTCGGAGAGCCTCCATTCGGTCAAGGTAAACTGCAGTGGACTCGTGGGGGGACACCCTGGGGGCCTCCCCTCAGGCTCTGGGGGTACTCGCAGGTGACTTCACCCCATGCCCTTGCCTGCTGGTCAGGCTGGGGGTCTGCCCCCTCAGAACACACAGCGGGCCCCCGCCCGACCTTGTGAGCTCTGGCTCAGGTCCAGCTCTCTCCACGGCCACCCAGACAGCCCAGCAGCCTGGCACTCTGTCGGAAAAGGACCAGAGGAGCCCCTTCCTTAAAATTCCCATGTTGGTGGCTCAGCTCCCACAACCGCTTCCCAAATACCCACGGGCAGGTGGCCAGGCGGTGGCACACACAAGGCCAGCTCCCCGCCGGCATCCACAGAGACAACCTGAACTTCCACAAGTGGGGTCTAGGGGCTGGTGGCCCTGTGGGCACGCCCAGCAGGAAGAGAGACCCGCCAGGCCTGCCTCGGCCTCGGAGCTGGCTTGCTGCCCCGGTCGTGGACCAAGAACAAAGCTCTTCGCAGCAGAGAGACCCAGGGCCAGGCACGGTCCCCTCACACAGATGCAAACGTGTGCACATTCCCACTCGAGTCACACGTGCACACACGCCCCGAGCCTATAAGACACCAGACAGCCCTTTTGTGCAGTCAGAGCTGGAAGTCCTCCCGGAGGGGCCACCTGCTCTGCCCCGGCTGTGCGAAGTGCCAAGAGCAGGACAGGACAGGGCTTCCGCAGGTGACCTGGGGAAGGCGGTCACTGGGGTTGTCCCCCGGGCCTTCTTACCCGCTCGCCCCACCGCAGCCACCCAGAGCCCGACCCCCACTGAAACACGCCGGCACAGCGTCTGCCCGAGTTTATTTGGGAAAGTGAAGAACTGAACAAAGACTCAGAAAATAAATATCGACCAAGAGGAGGCCGCTTGGTGAGGGAGCTCAGAGGCCAGCGGGAGGGCGGCGGGTGGAGGGCAGGGGGTCCTGGACGGCGGGACCGCACTCAGTCCCTCCCCGGGTGCAGGCCCCGGGGGCTGGCGCGCCACTCGCGGCCGGGGGCCCTGCGCTGAGCCCGCGGGAGCCTGCAAACGGTGTCCTGGCAGGAGCAGCTCTCGATGTGGGTGTAGCTGTGCTTCCGCGAGCTGCCGTCCGGGCAGCTCAGCTCTACCTCCCGCTGGCTGGTGCGCCCCTCCTTGCAGCAGGAGCACTGGTGGTCCAGGGCCTGGGCCTCGGCCGAGTACCTGAGGCGGGGGCGAGGGCCGCGGTGAGGAGCCGCTCCCAGGCGTGGGAGCCCCGCCCCCGCCCCCCCAGGGCCTGGGCCTCACTTGACGGAGGTCCCGCAGGACCCAGAGCAGGAGTTCATCACAACTTTCTTGGTGCAGCCGGAGTGAGAAATTTCCTTGGTCACGGGGACGGTGGAACAGAAGATCCTGGTCTCATTCCGAGGGATGCCTGGCAGGAGGGGGCGGAAGCTCTGGGAGAGGGTCTGGGGGAGCTCGGGGCAGGGGTTCTCCACACCTTCAGGGGCCCACGGCTTCCTCCCTACGGCTGCTTCTCCCTCCCCAATCGCGTCCGGCCTCGGCTGCCCCCCCCCAGCCCGCAGGGCACCCCGGATGACGCCCTCAAATTCAGCGTCCAGTGGACAGAGGCAAAGACGCCATCCCCCGGCCTCTCCCGCTCCAGGGTCCCGGCCGGACCACCCCGCCCGGCAGCTGGCGCTCACATTTCCGGCAGCATCCATTCGGCATGAACGCGATGGAGCCCTGGAGGGAAGGAGAGTGAGCCTAGGACCCAGCACCGCCCCCCAACAGTGAGCAGCCCCCTCCTGCCACGGGGTGTGGAAGGACAAGGACCGGACGGCCCCTGGGGACCCCCACTCACTGGGACGCAGATGCTGGGGTCGAAGTCAGGGCAGGTGATGTTAGACACGGAGGAGATGAGCTGGTTGTGAACGTTCATGCAGCTGAAGAAGGTGCAGTTGTTGGTGGGGTCGTGACGTATGTCCCCAGGCTGCAGGGCAGAGGGCGGTGTGGTGAGGGACAGCAGGACACCCGGCCGGCGGGCCCCGAGCCCCTGGGCAGGGGACACCCAGGAGGGGCCCCGGGACAACTGCCAGCCTGCAGTCCACACACACACCCACACTGCCGGCACCTGCTGATGGGCCCTCATGCAGAGAAAGGTGTTTCTAGATGTGATGACGTTAGAGGTCAGGAGAGCCGACCATCGTGGGTGACACGGGCGGCCCTTAATCCAGCCACCAGTGTCCTTGCAGAGAGCAGCGGCCACGGGACAGGGGGCAGAGAGTGCACGGATGTGGCCACAAACCCAGGGCTGCCTGGAGCCCCAGAGGCTGCAGAGGCAGGAAGGTCCCCCAAAGCCTTTGCCGGGAGTAGGGCCCCCCCTTGATCTTGGCGTCAGACTCCGCAGGGGGCAAGAGTCAGCCACTCACCGTGTTTCCAGCCCTCGTCTGTAGTCCCTGGTCATGGCCACCCCAGGACCCTTGCAAAGCCACACCCAACCCAGCAGAGAGCCAGCTGGGGACACAGGAGTGGTCCCAGGCCCCGCCGCTGGCTCCGGGTCGGCCCTGCCCCCCACCCGTGTGGAGAGGCAGGACGTGTGCGCTGCGAGCCGGCAGGGCTCCCCGCGCACCTTCAGGATGATGGTCTCCGTGCCGGGTCTCTTGACGATGCAGTGGGTCTGCTGACACTTGCCGCAGCACTGCCCGGGCACGTCCACCAGCTCGAAGCCCTGTGGGACACGCACGCTCAGGTCGGCGCGGGCAGGAGAGGCACCGGGAGCCGGGCGGGGGCCATCAGGGGCGGGGGCGGCTTACGGGGCTGCAGTTGTCGTCGCAGGGCACGCGGGTGCAGGAGATGACGTTGAGCTGTGTGCCGCCGTCCGTGCGGTTGGTGCAGACACAGTCCTCGCACTTGGAGGAGTACACTGGAGACCCGGGCTGGGGGCCCAGGGAGGCCGGTGAGGCCGGGCCCCGCCCACGCCTCCCGCCTGCTGCAGGAGGGTCGTCCACAGGCCCGACACACAGCATGGAAGTCCCAGGGCGGGCACCCCCCCCCCCGGGCACTCTGCCTACCCCTCCACCCGGGGCTCACCTGGTACTCAGCATTCCCGTGAACGCACACCCCCTTGGGCACTGGAGGAAGAGAATGGGGACGGGGGTCAGGTGGGACCGCCTGACCCCGCAGCCGACACACGGGACCTCAGGCCTGGGCTGGGCGTGTGTACCATGTGGGGCGACCCCCTGTGGCTCCCCGACCGCCAGGCCCCACTGACCACAAGAGTAGGACGGGCAGCACTTCCCGGGTCTGGTCTCGCTGCTCACGTCAAAGCCCAGCGGGCACTTGGGCGGCTTCCCCTGGCACAAGCTGGTGTTGCACTCTGCGGGGGACGGAGAATGCGGTAGGAAGGGCAGGGCCTGCAGGCTGCAGCCCCCTTCCACACGCAGCTCGGGGGGACACGCCCTGCTGGCCCAGCCCCCGCGGGCCCCCAGGTCAGAGGCGCGCGCTCGGTGGGGAGGTGAGGACGGCGCCGGAGCCCTTACTGCAGGACGTGATGTTACAGCAGGTGTTGGCGGGGTTGACCTCGGTGAGCGGGTAGGTGCCGTCCTCCGTGCACGTGACCGGCTCCTGGTGGCACTCCTTGGGCTCGCAGATGATGCCGCGGCCGCCCTCCAGGCACACGCAGTCCTTGCAGTCGAACTCAAAGTGCTCTCCGAACTGGGGGGAGAAAGGAGGCGGGCTGGGGTCACAGAGCCTGCCCCCTCACCCCCCTCCGCACGCGCTGGGGCCGCCCGCCAGGCACCAGCACTCAGCCGGGAGGGGCACCATGGCGGGCATGGTGCCGAGGGTCCTGGGGGACACCTGTGCCCTCCCTGCCTCCCCACACACGGGGCTGCATCACTGACACCACAGCCATGACCCACTCCTAGCATTTACCCCCACGGGCCTGGCACGCGGCAAATCGCCACACGTGTGTGGGGGGTTCATGGGATAGAACTAAGGAATCCACCACACGTGGAAGACACGGACAACACCGCCGTGGCCAAGATGTCATGTTGGGTTTGGACAGAGCATCTGACAACCGAGGGGTGGGTGGACAGTTGGACAGACAAAGGGATAAAGGATGGCTAGGTGAGGGCGTGGATGGGTAGAAGGAGGGAAAGAAAGAGAGGGAAGGAGGAAGGGGGGATGAAGAGGCAGGTGGGAGATGGGTGGGGGTGGGGGGCACCCAGGGGGCACCCAGGGAACACCCCTGCTGGCTCAGCCTTCCAGGACTTGAACGACAGGACTCAGGGTTTGAGACTCCCAGGTTCCTGTGTGCGACCCGCCCTAGCCCCCAGACTCCGGGTGTGCGGGTGAGTCCCATCCCAGCACCGGGAGGAAGGGCCGACCTTCCTGGGCACGTTGTCAGGTCCCACGCAGCCTGGGGAGGGAGAGAACACAAGTCCGTTAGCGGAGCCCAGAGCCACAGGACCCGGGGGGCTTCGCCGAGCCACGTGGCAGGCGCCATACCACACATCTCCACGCAGACGTCGAACCCTGGGGCGTAGTTCATGGTGCCCTCAGGACAGAAGCAGCCTTCCACCAGGCGGGCATTCTTCTGCGCTATGGGCCTGGCGGGGAGGACATCACGAGATGGGTGTGTGCACAGGCAGGGGCCAGGCACGCGGGATCACGACGCCCCAACAGCGTCTGCCACCCTGACGCACGCCCGTGGGGCGAGCTGGCTCTCCCTGCGCACCTTAGAGCAGCTGCACTAGACTCGCAGGAGGGCTCATCTGTAGGGCCGCAGGCCCGGTACTCCCTGTGAGGCGGGCACGTCATCGCTGCGGGAGGGAGAGGGGATCAGAGGAGCCGGAGTCTGGAGGGAGGGCCCGCGGGCCCCCTGGCGAGGGACAGGCCTGCCCAGCCTCTCCTGTGCCCGCCGAGGGCGACCAGCCACCCAGCGCCGCCCAGCGCTGCCCACCTCAGCCCCCCACGCCATCCCTGAGCTGGGACACAGGTGCCCAGGTGCCTAGCCAGGTGGCTGGAGCCCCAGGTCCCCGGCACCCCCAGCCCGCCCTTCTTCCCGCCCCAAGGCCCAGGCCTGCGTGCGCTCCCTGCCCACCCGGCCCTCCCGCCCCTCCGCGTAGCTTCAGGCCAGACACGGCACCCAGGGAAGCCCGGAGACCCGTCGGGCCCACGGGCCGCAGGTCTGGGGTGGGGGGACACGCACAGCAGACCCCGTGGGTGTGGTTCCTCCAGTCGACACAGATGTTGGCCTGGGCACAGAGGGCGGCGTAGGCCTGCAGGCTGGCACACTCCAGGCCCGAACCCGGCACAAAGCAGCTGTCGAACACGCAGGCCTCGTAGTAGTGCTTGGGGGGCACCACGGCGTGGCACGGGGCGAACAAGCTGTGGGGGAGGGGCAGGTCATGCTCAGGCCGGCCCTCCCCACCCACCCAGCGCCTCCACCCGGAGGCCCTCCTGGAGCCTGGCTCAGCTTGCATCCCCCCAAAACGGGCGCCCGTGGGAGGACAGTGTCCAGGGAGTGACTGCGCGACCTCAGGAAAGGGGGGCCGGCCCGGGGGGTGGGGGGGCTCCAAGCTAGGTGGCTGCCAGGTGCCGGGACCCCCGCCTGCAACCCAGGGAGTCCCCCAGACTCAACTCGCGCAGCTCTGGGGACAAGGCCCTCGCTCTCATGGCCGCTCGCTCTGGGCTTTCTCCCGGATCCCAGCCCTGAGCTCTCCCTGCGGCCTGCAGCTCAGCCCCGTAGACGTGAGAAGTCCCGGTCCTAGGCCCTCCGCCACCCAGTACGTGCCCACGGCACCCTGACTGCCCCGGACGTCCTGGCCCCGTGCTCAGCCCTGGGCCTCAGCTCCTCTTTGCAGACGGGGGCGCAGCACGAGAGGCCACTGCTCCCTGAGACCCTGACCCCGCAGCTCGCAAGGGACCAGCAGGGGCACCTGTCTCTGATGAGCTCGCAGAGAGGAGAGGCGCAGTCCTTGCGGGAGGTGGTGCTGGCCCCTGGTGGCGTGACGGCCGGACGCTTGGTGGTGACGCTGGTGTGGGGACAGTGTGGCTTGGAGGGGTCATTCACCACCCACTGGTCAGCCGCCAGCTCGCAGTTGGACACGATCTCCCCGCTGGGCAGCATGCAGTCGTCCGCCGTGTCATTGGTGCACGTGCCTGTGTGGGGAAGGAGCCCACGTCGTACACACCAGGCCCCGGACCCTCCCCTTCTCCAGCCTGGGGCCCCCAGAGGCCATCAGGCCGGGGCCAAGGGCACAGATGGGACAAGACTCCCATCGGCCTCTTCCCAGGGGGCCCCGAGCCGGGAGCGGGAGAACCACGGCGGAGCTGGCAGGAGCTCTCACCCAGCGCCCCACCTCCGAGCTGCCCTCCTGGGGGAAGGAGCCCTCGGGGGCCGAGGGGCTCACCGCATTGGCCCTTGGTGTTGTTGCCAAACAGGCGGTGGGGCAGTGTGATGGAGAAGGAAAGTCCGTTGTAGGTGATGAGGGCGCCCAGCTTGGAGATCTCCACCACGTAGTTGATGCCTGACTGGTACACGTACAGCTCATTCTTCACGTAGGGCAGGGCCACGACTTGCCTGTTGACCTGCACCTGTGACCAGACACGGGGTCAGGACAGCCAGCGGGCAGGTGGGGGACCCTCAGCTGGCCTCAACCTGGCCACTCAGGAAACAGAGCCTCGTGGGTCTGACAGGGGTGAGTCGGGGCAAGCCGAGACCTCCTCCCAGGGCACCTGGGATCATCCCTCCCCTGCCTGTTTTCAGGCCGGTGCGTCCAGTGGGCGGACCTCAGCCTGTCCCCCGGCTCCCTGGCACCTGCCCTGGTCCCTTTCCCACTTCGTTTCCATCGCTCTCGCCAGACTTGTCCTGGCCAGTCCCCGGGGGGAGGTCACAAGGACACTGCACTCAGAGGCCCGGGAGACGCCGGGGCTGAGGGTGTGGCTCCCGGCTCCAGGACACAAGCAGCCCCACGCGAGTGTGTGGCCAGCGCCGTGCTCGGGAAGGGGACTCCTCCCAGAGACCTGGGGCTCAGGCTGGTGGTGGAACATGAGCGGGGAGGTCAGGGGACAGCGCGGTCCACTATGGAGCAAGGGCGCGGACACACGGCGCAGCCTGCGTGGGTGTCCCCGACCTGGCCGCGCACCTGGACCTTGATGGGCCTCATCTGCAGGGTCTTGATGAGAACCTCCTGGGACTGGTAGCGCACCACGAGTGTGCGGGGGCAGGACACCCGGTCGTTGACGTCACAGTGGTAGTTGTCGATGTAGACGCCAAAGTTGCCGAGCCTGGGGGTCACCTCCTCCACGAGCACGTACGTGCAGTTCCCTTGGTAGCTGTAGTACAGCCCGTCGAACGTGACATAGTGCGGGTCCCCCCAGCCCGCGCAGTAGCCTGTGGAGGGTGCGCTGCTGAGTCACACCGAGCCCCGGGCCCGGGCGGCACTGGGGGCAGGAGCCGGCAGCAGCCCTGGCCGGACGGGCACTGCGAGCAGGAACCCTGGTTCCCGGGGCGCGCGGGGCGTCCAAGCCCGTTCTGTGGGACGGAGCCTCGCTTTGGAGCCAGAAGACCTGGGCTCTGAGCCCAGCTCTGCTCCCCCAGCCCCGGGAGCAGCGCCATTCTGCAGGGGTGGCCGTCCCTCCCAGGCAAGCCCCTCCCGCCCCCGGACCCTCTGCCGAGGAGGGGCAGTGAGCAGGAAGCCCACCGCGGGCAGCCACGGCGTCCAGCCCGGGCCCCGCACCCGAGAGCCGCAGACCCTGCAGCCACCCCCCCACCGAGGGTCCCGCGCCTCGGGGGGACCTACAGTCGCACTCCCAGTGCGGGCAGCACTCGTTGGGGCTATAGACGAGCGTGGGCTGGAGCCCATTGGCACAGGTGGGCTTGGGCGGGACCTCGCACTCCACCTTCACGAGCTCCACGGTGTTGTTGTACTTGCAGATCGCCATGGTGCAGTTACACAGCCACCACTTCTCATTCTCCTGCGGCGGGAGGGCGCGGATCAGGGGCACCGGCCGGGACCCCCCCCACCCCCGCTGGAGGCCGAGCCGCCGGGCACCCCGTGCGGGACGCAGCTCACTGCCAGCCGGCTCCCCGCAGCAAGGGAGGCTGGGGGAGACGCGGGGGCTCCAGCGGATCCTGCACCCAGAAGGCCAGTGGTACAGCAGCAGAGACGGTGGCGCCTTGGGGTGACCCGCGGAAAAGCAGCACCTGGGCTCCAGACGCCTGGTGGCCCGGTGCGTGTGCTTGGTGGCAAGGGGACAAAAACCTGCCCACGGCACACTGACCTGTCTGGGAGGATCAAAGTCCGGGCACCCAGGGTGCTTGGTGGTGGCCACTGTGCTCAATGCTGTGGGCGTGGGTGGTTTGGGTGTTGAGATGGGTGTCGACTTGGAAGGGGTGGGTGCCGGGGAGGGTGTGGACGGGCATGACCAGTTGAAGATCTCGATGGTGCAGGACACCGAGCAGTTCGCATAGTAGCAGGTATCCCCGTGCGTGCCGTTGTACACCATCTCGCCTGCGGGGGGAGAGGCCGGTCCCCCACTGTCCAGACAGGGCTGGCTACCGGGGTGTTCAGGAGCATCCCCACGAGGCCACCCACCCCCACGTCCCTGACACACGGCTGCAGCAAAGGGGGCTGACCACAGGGATAGCTGCCCACACCCAGCATCCAGCTTCCCCCACGAGCTCCGGGTTTTGACTCACGCCTGACCCCTCACCCCTGGTAAAGCCCCACCAGCCGGTCACCAGAGAGCCTGCGTGAGAAGCTGGGGTACCTGGTGCGAAGAATGTTTCGTTCAAAACGCAGCAGCCGACCTGACTGGAGGACCAGACCGGGCCCGTGCTCACGCTGACGTTGGGGGTGGAGATCGGAGTCAGGGTGGGGGTGGGCACATAGGAGGTCGTGGTGCTGGCGGTTGGGGGCCTGGAAGACGTGGGTGGCCTGGGAGTTCCTGTGGTGGTCGTGGACGCAGTCGTACGAGTGGGTGTGGAGGGGGTTCCCGGGGTGGGCGAGGGGGGCCCGGTGGTGGTCTCGCTGGTAGGCGTGGTCTTCGAGGAGGTGGGACCAGAGGTCTGCGGGCCTGGAGGAATGGAGATTTCAGGACGGAGCTGATGGCACCGCTCTCTGAGAGGCCACAGGAGCCTGACGGCAAAGGCCACCTCCTTGCAAAAAACCCGCTCGAGGCGTGGCACGTGGCAAGGAAAGGCCGTCGTCCACTCTCCTGGCTCTCAGCCTCGAGGGAGGGCAAGGAGAGCAGGGCCCCCCGTTCCACAGTGTTAGGTCCCCTGCGGGGAGGCGGCAGCCATGGTCACAACATCGGTCCCGCTGAGATCGTGCTGACCAGCAGCCCTCCGAAGCCCTAGTGGGAGGTGCAGACACAAGTGGCGGACAGAAGGAGGGTCCCTAGGGCACCTGGCTGGCAGCCGCCTTTCCCCATTGGCCCCACATGCCACAGTGGGGCCCCCTCCCTAGGCTGCTTTGCCCTGGTGCCCATCACTCTGCCAAGGACCAAGGAACAAGGACCTCAGGCAGCTGTGCCTGTGGAAAGACACCTTAGGGGGGCAGTGGGGAGCCCTCAGCTCTGCCGCTCACACACAGCCTGACGGTCAGCAGCTCCCTCGACGCTCAGTGGCCAGTCTGCCATGCAAGCGAGGCGTGCCAGACCCTCGCTGGGGAGCCCCCTCCCCGGGCAGCGCGGAGGGCAGCACCTCACATGTGAGAAGCCGTACGGCTCCCTGGCAGGAAAGCTCGTTCGCCTAGACTAAGGGGCCTGAGCACACCACAAGCACACAGTCTCCGTGCCCATTACGTGCCTGGAGTGCTGCTCCCGGGCGAGGGCGGAGGGGAGGCTGAGGTGCCCCCAGTGGTAGTGCCCTTCGGTTCGGTTGGCGGAGAGGGAGAGAGTGTGCTGGAAATCTCCACAATGGCTGTCGTGCTGGTCAGAAGCGTAGTTGATTCTGTGGAAGCAGGAAAGGTGAACTGAGAGTTTGAAGGAAAGGAGGGCTCAGGCCTGGCTTTGGGGATGGTGGTCTTACCTGCGGGTGTAGAGCCCATGCTGGTGCTGATGGTGGGGGTCGAAGTCCGGGTCACCGTGGTGGTGGTTGTGGTGGTCGGGGTGGGCGTTGTGGTCTTGGTGCCCGTAGTGGTGCTGATGGTGGGGGTCGAAGTCGGGGTCACTGTGGTGGTCGTGG